ATTGACAAGATAGTTAAAACAATTATAAGGAAGTAAGAAAATTTTACATGGATTTAAATCACTTTATTACAACATTGTTAAAAAGGGTTGCAGACATTGTTACCCAGCCCTCTTTAGTCTGACCTAATCTGATCAGCTGGGCAAGGAGAGCTTCAGAATTTGTCACTGGCTATTCTATTACTGTAGCTCTTTTACATAAAGCAACAGTTACCAGCGAATCCAATGAAATGACAACAGAAAAAAAAAGAAAGAAGTTTTGCAGTCACCAATGTATGTATACATTTCTGGTAAAACATCTATTACCAGTTTAAAAATGTTCTAAATAGCGTAGGGGATTTAACATCTTAATATTTTTACAGTTTGATTACTTGCATTCATTTGTTGGTTGACATCCTTTTCCCATGTTTTCTGAAATGATAAAAATATTTGAAATACAAATTTGCAGGTTGGGTAGTGGTATGATATATTGCACATTCAGCATATTGCACAGTCAATAAATAAAAAACTATAATATAGCTGCACAGTGGTTGTTACAGGAGTTATTGTGGTTATAGTGCATTATTATAGAGATATAAAAGATTTGTTAAAGCTCAAGGCATTTGGTATAGCAACACTCAAATATTCAGTCTATAGCCATTTGGTTTGGGATTTTTTCAAGTAAGACATTTATTAGGGGAGGTTCATAAGGCTTTTATTGACATTTTAATAGCATATTATCTCCTATGGGGTGACATGGGAAAACAATTTAAAAGATCCTGAAGTAAATCTAAATGAGTTCCGACCAAGTGGAGATATGGAATCATTCTCCTGAGTTTTTGGTTACCCATATTGTAAGGACAACTTTCCCTGAAAAAACATAACATAACCCTCAGCAATAAGGCGGATAACAATAAAGCAGTGTGACAAATACCAGAGGGGTGAACCTCTTATATTTAATTTAATCTTAAATTGCCCCCCCCACCCCCTGGTTAAAACTGAACAAAACCAGAAGCAATCCTTAATGACAGCCTCTCTGTGGGCTCTCAGCTACAAACAAAACACTCGCTCAGACACAACAACACAATTCTTTTAAATTGCAGCCAAGATTTTCTCCACAGGTTTTAAACCTGTATGTGCAGCAGCCGTTCTGGGACATCCAGCCAGATGGCCTTTGCCCAAAACAAAGGGTATTTGTAATTTTAGGTATTGTTATAAAACGCTTACTTTTTTTTTTACCTTAGCTGCTGTATCACAGAGTTTAAAGCTCTCTTGAGGACTGCAGAGGAGACAAGATAAATGCTTTCTTATCCATAAAGCCACTCTAATTGGTTTCACAGAGATATTTTGTTTAAATACTTGCTGTCTATTCTATCGAAAATTGAAGCTTTATCAATTTCTTGGTCTCACTTAGTTGCAAAGAGGGAAGCAGATTGGCTCAAGATCTGTCAAAGTAAATAGATCAGTCCATTTTAATTTGGATTCAAGGCAGAAGCTTGCTTTGAAGTCTGTGATTAAACCTCAGAGGATGATCTGTGAACTGAAAAAATGCCCCGAACAATAGCCATACTCTGTCTCCTCTTTTCCTGGCAGTACGTCACTCTGGCCTTTTTTTATTTGGACGTGAGTTGTATTTGAATGCCCCACATGCACCATAGCAGTCAGATTTTATTTATTCTCCCAAAAGCCAAGTTTTAGGTCATAACGGTGGAGTTATTCTGTGCCATAAGCTCTGCAGTCATTGGTATTTAGTCACAAACTCAATGCATCAATGCAGCCAGTCAAGTATATTAAGTACAGGAGGCTGATGCAGCGGATAGCTGAAGGACCGATCAAATGATCATATTTAGTATTGTCATAATGGGCTTTAAAGATCTGACCCACATGCAGAGAACCACTCAGAGATCAAGGGTAAAAGTTAAACAGGTTAATTGTAGGTTAGCAAATGCTGATTGAGATTAAAACTCTGTGGGGAAACAATGCTGGAACTCAGTGGACTGGTGAACCAGAACCGGAAACTCTGGAGGAGAGATCACAGTGATCAGTTAAAGGAATAGTACACCCAAAACATGATTAGCCTTCATTTTCTACTCCCCCCCATGCTGAACAACACTCTGGAGTACTTTTTTGATATCTCAAATGCATCTGGAGATCTGGGAGGCTTCTTGCTGTCTGCTGACATTCAAATAATGGAGGTCTATGGTGCCCGAGGCAGAAAGGTCCATAAAAGTCCACAAAAAACGTGTCAATATTCCTCCATACTGCTCGTCCAATGTATTCCAAGTGTCCTGAGTGGGTAGCGTCCAGAATTTACTCGAAACGAAGTCATTTAGAATGTTTTTAGAGCATAAACAGTAGTGTATAGGATTTCCTAAAAGCGCGTTCACGAGTCTACGGAAACCGCGGCAGACCAAACCAGATGAAAGTGCGCATTCAGCTCGGCAAAGAACTCATGCTCTTCCTCAACACTGAAGTCCTCAGACATTTTTCTTTCGTTGTTTCTTTCTTTGCACAGGTAAACAGCACATTTCTTCTTCTACGCTTGCATTATCGGCAGAGCAGACGCTGAATGCGCACTTTCATCTGGTTTGGTCTGCCGGTTTCCGTAGACTCGTGAACGCGCTTTTAGGAAATCCTATACACTACTGTTTATGCTCTAAAAACATTCTAAATGACTTCGTTTCGAGTAAATTATGGATGCTACCCACTCAGGACACTTGGAATACATTGGACGAGCAGTATGGAGGAATATTGACACGTTTTTTGTGGACTTTTATGGACCTTTCTGTCTCGGTCACCATAGACCTCCATTATTTGAATGTCAGCAGACAGCAAGAAGCCTCCCAGATCTCCAGATGCATTTGAGATATCAAAAAAGTACTCCAGAGTGTTGTTCAGCATTAGCCTGGGTGCCAGTCCGAACTTAGTCCCGCCCACAAGGTTTGAGTTCGGGGAAGTTCGGTCTGGCTCTGCTCCATAGTAGCGCGAGTATTATCGCCCACTGTCAGGCGATCCAATCAAATTGTCAGGGCGGGCTTTATACGATGATGGACAGATGATCAAGAGTAACGTTATCAACCACGTGACCAAAGCGCGCTTGGGTGACAACAACAATGGCTGCCGCTGGAGAGTTGAGGTGAGTAGATTCTGCTATTAGGTCTGTTCTAGAAGATATCGACAGCAAATTAATTTTAAAAGAGGAACAGAGAAACGCGATCGAGGCTCATCTTCTTATTCTAGGCGTGCAACTGCACGCTTTGATTTTTGTGGACAACAACTATGCGTGGCTTAACATACGTCACGCACTCCGTTGCTCTTATTGGTTGTAGGTCTATCCAATTGAGTGCAGAGGCATTTTTTTTCCTGGTTCGTTCAAAACACGCCCCATAATCACAGCTCTATGGAGCAGCATCAGACTCATTCTGACTAGAATTGAGTCGGACTACGTCAGGCTAGTTCAGCATGGGGGTGAGTAGAAAATGAAGGCTAATCATGTTTTGGGTGTACTATTCCTTTAAGGGACAGTGGGAAAATAGACTCAGGCTTAAATGTTGCTGGAGAGGCACTCACTTTTGGGGGGCTTTTGGTTTATCCTTGGATCCAGTTGTTAATGTTAGAGTGATAACTATCCTTTGTTTCAACCAGAAGAGTCATAAACTTTTATGACCTCCTGTAGGTCATGAGGCAGAATCACACGGTTGTGTGACTTCCATCCAGCCAGTTGGTCAATTCACACTATCTTATTACCTAGATCCTCCCAGATAATCATTACTGGGTCTTCTGTTTTAGGCCCGCCTTATGATGTTGTCAACTCTTAATAAAAGGCTTTGCCATGAAGGGATCTGTGTGAGAAGGTGTTGGTTTTCCAAGCCAGCAGCTTCTCTCCGCTCTGCAGACGCTGACGTCACAAAACCCTGTCTCTGTGTTGATTATTTCCTTTTAATCTTTTAAACTCACATTTCTCTGGATTAAAACCCAACACCAGTTTGTGGGGGTTTAATCTAGAAAAGAGGGAACTCGCTGGAGAGCGAACAGGCAGACATACGTTGGACCCAGAAGAGTAAAGGAGCGGGCTGTCACTTGGTTTTCCAGGAGTGGACTTGAACGGATCATGTGGAGGTTTTCCCCTTGCTCAGTAAGATTCAGTAAATCCTTCCAGGGGTAGAAGGTCCAGGCTGAAGAACAAAGAAAAAAAATCTAGTTCAGACTCAGAGAAACAATGCTAAGGTTAGACCCTGCTAATCTCAGTTTGGCTAGAGTACCCAATACTGGCAAACACTCTGGTGTCGAGGTGGTGACAGCCCACTGCTCAAGTACTCCTCTGGTAATGACCTAACAAGCCGCAGGTGTGCGGGGAGGCCCAACGAGGACAGGGCACCGCCTGGTGGTGGAGAGAGGAAAACACAAAAAACAGCCCACACAAACTGGAATCCTAACAAGTATGGATTCAGTAACTCAATTCACTAAATAAACACAGATTTATTAACACACAAGCTACCTCAAAGCCTTTGTGAATTTAATAAAACTACATGTAAGATTGGAAAGGTACCATATTTTACACACTATAAGTATATATATATATATATATATATATATATATATATATATATATATATATATATATATATATATATATATATATATATATATATATATATATATATATATATATATATATATAATAAAAATCCCTTTGTTGTCCCACAGTGAGTAAATTGTGGTGTTACAGCAGCAAAATATTACAGCAAAAGTGGTCACGCAAAATGTGGACCTTAAAAAGTAAAAAAAAAAACAGAATAAGTAACAAAGTATAAAAAATAAACAAATAAAATACTGTACTGCACAGTGTTATTACAAATATAAATATAGTATATATTCTAGTATCTAAACCTGCCAGGAGTTTGCAAAAGTGCAATGCTTGAAATGTTATATGTATGCCAAAATGTAAAATGTGAGCCATGTATTAAACCTGCATCTTATAGCTTTATTGAATAATTGTTTAATGTTGTTTATTGTCTTTTCAGAACCAGATCTCAATGTCCCCGGGACACTCGATTCATTAACACAGCAGGTTAACAAGACAGTCCACCGCCGCCGCCATCGTAGAGATGCTGGAGAAGGAGACTACAACATTGAAGTCCTGCTGGGAGTTGACGACTCAGTAGTCCGGTTCCATGGCAAGGAGCATGTGCAGAATTATCTTCTGACTTTGATGAATATCGTAAGTCTTCTTAGCCTTTGTGTTTTCTTACATTCTGTGTGTGATTTTTCTTTTTGAACAGAAAAAAAACATTCAATGGCAAAAAAAGGTTTGGTAACAGAGGTATTTGATACCAGCGGTTCTTGAAGTCCATGTTACCTTAGATTTGCCCCAACAGTATTAGTGGTTTTTTTTTTGGGTGGCCTACAAAATAAGACTTTGCCACCAGAAAGGTTTGGAATAACCTAAATATGCTGGGATTCACAGACAATTTAGGGAGAAAACCCTCAGACATGTAGAGCCAATCATCCAGAAGTAAGTGCTTAACAGTCTATGAGGCCATGAAACAAAGGGCTTAATCACACTGTGATTGAACCACTATTCAAGCAGCCTCCAGTCAATCAGTTATTTGTGCTACATCCACATGCTTAGTTAGCAATCATGTTCTTTAAAGTCCCCTTAAAGTAAACAGAATGCTAAGATCATTTTAACATTCCCACTCTCCTAAAGTAACAACTGTTTCAGCTGATTGTTCCTCCTCAACTAAACAACTTGAGTAAACACCACCAGCATTTTTAAGTGATTTATTGAGAGAAAATTATTAATCCAATGTTATTAACATGATGTGGGTTTGATTTTCCTGACCACATGGAATCAAGAAATCACTTTGAAAATCACTACCGGTAATAGTATAAAGTGGGCTAAAATATGCCAAAAATGTGGTTTAATATTTCCCAATTAAAACAACTACAAAAAAAGGATAAACCTACAATTTATTGACATCTGCCACCCTAGAAAAGATTTCAACCCATTACTAAAGCTTTGGAAACCTGGCGATCCCCTAGTGAACCGTTTCAGGACCTGGGAAACTACAGGCATCACTTGGCACATTTAAGGTCCCTTTTTGCTGTTCAGCAATAAAATCAAAGCAGAGCAAAAATTCATTTCCATACGAGTCCCAGAGCGTCTTAGGCTATGTCCACAGCTCAAGTAAATGCCACCCAAATTAACCCGTATACAATTTTTTCATGGCAGTTTAGAGCGGCCCAAATTAGATTTTTTACCTCCCAAAAAAATCCAGATTATTCCACATCAATATGAGTTATGAATAAAAAATGTATCTGATCGTATTTAAAGCGACTGCTGTCTGAACAGTCATTTCACATTCATCCGACTCACATTATTATCCAGATTCTGATTGGATGATAATGTACTGACTTCCCTCTAGCACAGCATTCACTGCTCCACACAGGCACATTGTGAGTAGTTCTGCTTTCTTTTTCTTACCTTTCTTTGTCTTTTTATGATGTGGTCATAATATTGTCATATTAAAATCTTTCAATAACTTATAACACAGAGATGCTTACATTGGTTTTGATTTCCATAAACAGTGCATTGATAAATGAAGTCAACCCTGACCTGCTCATTCAGGCCATGCTGAAAAAAAAATCCAAATATGGTAATTGGGCATCACAAACTGCATTGTGAGCCTGGTGTTAATGATCCTCACACTTTTGTGGAAAAAAAAAAATTGTGGAATGAGGATATTAGACTAGACATTTTAAAAGGTGGTGTTGGGAGTCAGTCCTGCATTATTTTGCGTAATCAATGCATACTGGCAAAACTCAACAGGTCAGCATGGCTCCAAAATAAAAAAAAATAAAAAAACATTTTTATCAAATATAAAGATAGTGTTTGATAAAATACTAAGTTAATATAAAGGAAGACAACATTAGTCTGTTTAAGTTAGTTGAAACTAGAAATAACTTGGATAGTGAGTTTATTATTGTCATATTTTGAAAGAGTTTAAAGTGGTTATGCAGTTGAATCTCTACCAGGCTGCAGTCTGTTTGCCTGGCACTGGGTTAGTGTCAGTCAGAGGCTTCAGACACTAATGCACTCTGAGCAACATCACTGCCAAATGGAGAAATGCCACGACACATGTCAGCGTCACTTATCCTAATGTTTCCTGAATTCTTTGATCTTCAGCTGCTCTTTGAATTGACTAAGTCCGCTGTCTTTTATATTGCCAATTAAAAATACCGGTATATTGTATTCATGCTAATGAAATGAAAAATGTTTGTGCAATTTTGAGATTCTTTTATTTCAGTGAAATGTTAAAAATAGATAAGTGAATTGTACTGTAAACACAGGTGGTACTCTCACATCTAAATCAAGGGCAGTTAGTCCTAATTCAAGCAGAATGTGTTTGATATTGGCTTTCCGTTGTCTTCAAACTGTGCTCCATGCAGGACAATTCCAATTAATGCTACATTCACACCGCACGCAGCAGAAGCAGAAAAAACACGCGTGCTGCTTCAATTTTGATGCCTGTACTAGTTTAGTTCTGATGCATGTCTGGAGCATCTTTGCCACTCTAGCTGAAAAGTGGGCCTGATGCGCGTTGAGCTGAGCTACCCTGTTATTACTTTGCCTGTAACAGTGGCGTCTAAAATCGAGAGAGTCGCTTGCCGTATTTTAATGTCCCCATTAAGGTCAGACGTCGAGTAACATGAGTCCAGAGGTGTCTGGTGCCCCTCTGTTCAATGGCAGAGATCGGCTTTGCTATATTTGCTTTAATAAGTGGGTAAAAAGTAGTTTTAATATGTTTTAAGTGAGAAAGTCCACCTCAGTTTATAAAGATTACAATCCTGCCTTCAAATATTATTTCGCTGTCAGAGCCGCTCAGACCCCTGTACACCTGTGGAGCTCTGTCACTGGGAATCCAGTTCAACAGCAGCCTCTGATCCGGTCACCTTTTTGCGAGTTTCCGCTACTGTTCACGGTGGCTGGAAGGAGAATAATAAAAGCAAACATATTTTGCCGGCAGGTTTCGACTTTTTAAGTTAATTTAGGCGTTAATAAACTGTTTCAGTGGAGTGATCATAGCTCTCTGCATCAGCAGCGCTGTGCCTGTCTCCCTACCAGCTACCAGTTCAGCTTCTCTCATTGGTTGATACGACACGTCTAGGAGCAAAAGTTAAATTTTTTCTAACTGTAGCACCTGCTGCTTTCGCAGCACGTCAGATGCTCAGAAGCTCATGACGCATTGCTTCAGCTGCACAGACCTGCTGCTCAAAATGCGCTGCAGGACCTTTTGCTGTGCCTTGATGCACATCGACCATTCACTTTGCATGTGAACTTGCTGCATCTGCAGCATGCAGTCCTTCATTGTGTTTTAATAATCATAATAAATCTTTATGTCAGCTAATAGCCAATGTGCTTTTGATTTGTATGCCATGATTTGTATTTTTTCTATTTAATTTATTGTTAAGTTTGATATAATTGGCCTTTTTATCAGGGAAGCTGGAAAAGACTCATACTAATTTTATGTTTTTTTATTCTGCCCTGAAAGGCAAGTAAAAAATGAAAATAAAAGGGAAATGTTACTAAGTGTTCTTGTAATACTTTGTTATGCCACTAGAGGCATTGTAGTCTTAAGACAGAAACTCAATGTCAGCTATATTCTTCAAAAGTTTAGAGATGCCTGGTTTTTTAAATGTATATATAAAATTAGATTTTAGCAAAGTAACAAAAACTGTGTATTCATTGGCCATGTCATGTGGTTATCATATCAATCTTTTCTTTTTATGAGCAATAGGTAGTTATTTTCAGGGATGATTCAGCATATTTGTAGGTCAACTTCATAACTCCTCTTTCTTAGGATCAAGACTGTATTTCCCAGATAACCTTAGACTTGCTGTCAGTCAATGCTTAGCATAACTTGTCACAGTATATTACATATTGGTGTAAGAAATAATGTGGCAACAATATGAATGCTTAAATGATTATATTTATTTACATTTGAATAATAATAATAATTGAACTTTATTAATCTCACATTGGAGAAATTTACCTCTGCAGTTAACCCATCCCCTTGGGGAGCAGAGGGCTGCCATTGTGTGGCACCTGGGGAGCAATCAGGGGTTAAAGGTCTTGCTTAGTAATCCAGAGTGGAGGCTGTGATATTCAACTAGGTACTTGCAACCTTCTCAGAGCACAAGTGCACTGCTCTAACCCACTAGGCCATCACTCCCCTAACTTTTAGTTAAAATTTTAGTTTTTGATACAACAACTAAATGGAAAGTAGTCGGGAAACTTAAAGAGTTTTTAACCTCAACAACAGATGGGGGGAAACTCTTAGATAGTTTAGATTTCTAAGTCTTTTTTTCCTCCAATATCACAAAAAACACCCATGGTTATATTTGTTAGTCTTTTTTTTCTCAAGCACTGCAAGAGAGGGAAAAATTTTTTTTAACCAACTCATTTTACTATGTGTTTGTTTGTGTAATACATTTTCTATCTTCCAACTACAAGTGAGTGCAAGAAGTTATGTTTTGGTTTTAAAAAATGTGTTTGGCCCTAAAACACTTTTTGAGTTACATAAGACAAGAAATTGGACCTTGTCAGTCAAACCAGGCTTTGACTATACAGTAGAAGAATACACACAACAGTCAGTGTCTCTCTTATTGCTTCAGCGCCTCTAGTGGCAAAAAAGAGTATTACAAGAACAAACAGAAAATTTCCTTTTATTTATTTTTTTTTTTGACTTGCTTTTAAGGGAAGAAAATAAAAGTAAATGAAAAAAAGCTTCAAACTTTTCTTTTCCAGATTGTTTCTCTTGCCTTTCAGGGCTACAGCAAATTTCCTGCTGGAATACCTATATTATTCTATTTCTGTGACTCATTTGACTAACTTCAGTAAGCCTGTATTGCATTGTTTACAAATATACTTATACTTAGAAGCTAAGCATTTTTCCTAAATATTTGTGTCTTTTATATCTCAATCATGGCAACAAAATAGGAACGAATATTCGCCAATTATGAATTCCTTTTTTTAAAGCTAAAAGGCTTTTATTTCTTGTTTGGTATCTATTCTGACTGATTCCTGCTTGCTGGTCAAGTTACTTAGTTGGGGAAAATTATTTTTGCCCCTGCTGCTAATTGCTATAGCAATAGGAATTGCTATACCTGCTAGTAAGCCTATAATTCCCTATGAGCAAATTCTGTTCTAATTTTACT